AGAAAGTTTTATTATTGGTCTTTATATTTTTTGCTATATGCTCCTCATATTCCTTTTTTGCTTGCCTGATCACAGACTTGCATTTTATTTGCTACAACCTGTGCTCCCTTTTATCAACCACACTGAGACTAGCTTTCCACCAGTTAAAGAAATCCTTCTTACCTTTTAGCGCTTCCATTACTTTGTTTGTTAACCATGCAGGCTTTTTTCTATACCTGTTTGTGCCTTTCTTAACCTGTGGTATATATTTTTTCTGAGCCTCTCGGATTGTAGTTTTAAATACTCTCCAAGCTTCCCCAATGGTTTTGACCCTTTTTACTTTTTCTTTCAGTTTCTTCCCCACATGTCCCCTCATACCCAGCCTTGGGGTCCCCTGCTTGTCAATATATCTATTTCTCAATGTGGCCAATTCTGAGGATACTTAAATCCGGAGACTGAAGCCATGCACAGACCAATATCTTTCTTCAAATGTGGAAAAGCTCCAGGTTTACCAAAAAACCAAACCAAACCTGAAATTAAAAAAAGAAAAACATTGGGGGTTACATCCCTTTGAGAAACAGATGCCTTCTTCAGTAGCCATTGGAAGGAGGTTGCTAGGCAACCACAACAATATTGCCAACCTTTAAGCCTTGGAATCTGATAGTAACAGACAGTGGGAGGGCCCTTTCCAGGTTTATGTAAGCCTTTGAGGGAGGACTAATTGAGGCCAGGCCTGGCAACACTACACCATACTGGCTTTCATGTGATGGCTGCTGTTGAATAATAACAAGTAGCTGGGCCTGGTAGGAACCTCTGAGAGGTCCAGCTGCTTGCTACTGTTCAACAGTGGCCCCCAGGTGAAAGCCAGTATGGTGTAGTGGTTCGACTTTCAGATTAGTATCTGGGAGATCTAGGTCTGAACACTCACTCTGCCATAGTGCATCCTGGGTAATCTTGGGTCAGTCACACATTCTCAGTGTAACCTACCCCACCAGTATGGGGGCTGCCAGGAAGAGAGAAAGAGGAAATACTGTGGGGATGGATACTGGGGGAAATAAAATGACCCTTGTAACTCCTTGTGGATTCCTTGATTGTAACTATCTGTTCCTGTGATCTAGTAGTTCCTCTGAATTCCCAGTTTTATTTACAAAATAAAATTTAAATCTGTAGCCCTTTTGGTTGCAGAGATACAAGGAGAAAGGCAATCGGGAATTTGACCCTATATCTCCAGAAAAGAAAAGTCTTGAAATTTGGGGAATCAGTATATTGTGGAAATAGATCACATTGACATCATGATGCTATGGCAAATGAAAATTACTGAGTTAAAAAGCCTGAAAAAACTGGGAGTTGAGTGGGTGAGAATGGAGGATGATGGAGAAATGTGAGCAAAAAATTCGAGTGTAGATACTCCATTGTGATGACAGGCAAGTGAAAACCTGGATGCAGCCACAGCGAGAACAAGGAATAGTGAATTGCCTCTGTGGTGCATCTATGCGGTAATACTTGTCTGTATCCCCTTCATTACTTCAGAGGATGTATTTGCAGTGACAGCAGAGCATCCACATCGTAGTTTTACTCTCACTGAGGAACTTTTTAAAAAAATGACGATTGAACCTGGGACCTACCGTATGCAAAGCAGAGGTTCTTCTGCTGAGCCACAGCCCCACTATAACATAAAATCAGTGACTGACATATTGTTATAGTGTTAAGCTAGGATTCCCCAACAGGGTGCCCATTTGTACCATGGGACCCACCGCTACTTCTGCTGCCGCTCCTATTGCAGTGGTGGAAAACCATTAGAATGAGGGCAGCCAGTAACAAGCCCTGACTAAGAATGGCCTCACCCACTTTCTGAAAAGCTTGGTGGGTGCCAGGAGAAGTAGTGGTGTGAATGGGTGCCATGTTGGAAAACCCTGCTCTATGTGGGCACCATGGGAAAACCTGCTCTATGGTTTCTCTACCACCCTCTCTGTGTCTCTATTTTTAAAAACAGGTTATGTATGAATACTGAAAATACTGAGCCTGCTTTGGTGGGAAGGGCAGGGTACAAGTTTAATAAATAAATAAATAAAACAATGAACTATATGTGTTTTGCTTTTCTTTAAAATATGTAATTTTCAGATCCAAATGCAAGTGCAGAGGAAAGGAAATATCTTACTATTAATTCCTGCATGCACTGCAAATTATGTTTAACAATATCTTCCCTCCATTTATCCCCCAAATTGATTATTCATAGTGTAAACATGCCATATTACTTACCAATTTTAATTGGGTCTATGACTCCATTGATACTAACTGGATTTTCTTATATTACACCATCCATAGCTACAACCCAACCAGCTCACAAGCATAATTCCTCTGGGTCTTATTAAGTTCTGTCTCCGCCCTATCCTAGGAATAGGGGGTTGGAATCTATTTCTGAAATTATCAATATTTTAAGTTTCAGATTGATTTAATTATTCCAGCATAAGGTAGGTGTTAGACGATTAATTTACAACAATTAACCTTTCCGCTTGTTTTTGATACATGGTGATGTATACCACCATACTTAATTTAGGCTGCGGTCGCACGGAGCATTAGCCATGCTACAGAGACGGAAGATAGGCGGATTTTCCAGGCGCGATCCAACCGCAACATCTGGGAAGCGTAGAGCTCCCGTGGCTAACCTGAGGCTTCCCGCCAAAGATGCGCTGTACCTCCGAGGTACTAGTTTCCGGAAACCACGGGGCAAGGGCGGGCGTCTGATCACGTTTCTGGTGGTAGCTCGTGGCATCCAGCACCCGCCCATGTCCCGTCGCGAAAAAGATTTTTTCCCCAAGTCTCCACGGGATGTGCACAAGCACCCAACGGTGCATGTGCACACTTCAGTTAAAAAAAAAAACAACCCCCGCCGCGCCACTTCTTTGCCACGTCGCAGGATTGACATATGATCAGCACCTCCCCCCCGAACCACGGGACGTCGGTGGGACGTTTGATCCGGTGGCCACGCAGTAGTTCGCTCCGGGGCAAACAGCCACGCCTCCCCCCCGCGATATCCGGCCCGTGTGACTGGGGCCTGTGATAGGCAAATAATTCATTGTTATAGATCACTTGTGGCATATGTTTCTTTAGATCATTAGAGGACTAGGGATTGTTGGTACTGTCCTGTCTATACAATGGAGAATTAGTGTACTGTACAAAAAGAACAGCAGGTTTTGAACAGATAGCATACTATTTCAATTACATATTCTGAGCTAAATTCACAAGCAGAGTATAAGTAACTGGCACCAGAAGGAACTTTTGGGGAGGCTTAGTATAATGCCTACAGAAATTATTCTCTTCATTGAACATTAGATTGGTGCCTTTGTGCTTAATACAATGTCTGTCCCTTAGCCAAAGACAATATTTTTAAATTCAGTGTTCTTTTAAGGCTAATACCATTATGGTTTCATACAATAAGATAGCTTCCGAGCTTATTCTTATTGTATGCACTGATTACTCTTTTTAAGTATTTAAAAGTCTTTCATTTAAAGGAAGGTAGGGAGCTGTTTAAATTGGTTGGGGATGATAGGACTTGAAATAATGGGTTCAGAGTATGTATGGGGAGCTATCAGTGGGATATTAGGAAAAACTTCTTAACAATAAGGGAAGTTTGGTGTAGTGGTTAAGAGTGGTGGACTCTAATCTGGAGAACTGAATTTGATTCCCCACTCCTCCACATGGGGCCAGCTGGATGACTTTGGGTCAGTCACAGCTGTCTCAGAGCTGTTCTCTCAAGAGGAGTTCTCTCAGAGCTCTCTCAGCCTCACCTACCTCACTGGGTGTCTGTTGTGGGGAGAGGAAGGGAAGGAGATTGTGAACTGCTCTGAGTGAATGGCTGGGTATAAATCCAACTCCTACTCCTCCTCTTCTTGGTTGTCGTCGTCTTCTGTTCAGTGGTGGAATCAGTTACACAGGAATGTTGTGGGTTCTCCTTCCTTGAAGGCGTTGAAGCAGAGGCTGGGTAATTATTTGGCAGGGATACTGCACCTGCATGGTGCAGATGGCTGGACTGGATGGTCTTTGGGCTCCTTTGAGCTTTTAAATTCTGTAATTCTATGAATGAGGCCAATGGTTTTCAAATATTTTCAACAGGGACGTATGACTCAACTTACTGTATCTTTCAGGAACCCCTTGAATAGTAACAGCGTGTTGCTTCTCCCCCAACACAAATGCAGGCCTCTCACATCAGTTAAGATTGAAAGTGTACATTTTATTTTTCCATGTTTTGTGTTTATATAACGTTACTGAACCAATGTTATATAACATCAGTGAGCGTAACATTACTGAACAGCAGGCTGTATTTCTTGGTCACTTCATACACTATGTAGAGCAACACCCAGACTTGCCACTCCAGAGCCTCTTCTGCCAGTCTGCCCTTTTTAGGGATGCCACCCTTCAGGCAGGATCTGGGGATCCCCTTTAATTGCAGATTATCTCCAGACTACAGCAGTCAGTTCCCCTGGAGGAAATAGCTGCTTTGGAGGGTGGACTCCATGGCACTGTACCCCACTGAGGTCTCTTGTCATCCCCAGGCTCCACTCCCAAATCTCCAGGAGTTTCCCAACCTGAAGCTGGCAACCCCCCCCCCCCAGCCTGCACATGTGGCCAGGAGGGGCCTGGCAACCCAGCCCTCATGGCCTCATGACTCACTGTAAGAAAGCTGCAACTCACTTTGGGATCCTGACTCACATTTTGAAAACCACTGAATCAATTATAGCTAGAGTAAATCAGACCCTGAAAGTACACTGCACAGCCCATGACAATTTTTGGGATTACCTGTGAATGCCCAAAATGTATACTGCTTCTGTTCTCATCATAAACTTTACAAGCACACATGGCATCTATTTTATATGATTTTTATAACTTCGCTCTATAATGTTTGGCCACAAATGAAATTACATAGTATCATAAATAAGTTTTAAAATAGTTAAAATTCCATTTTGTATAAAATAAGTAACAATTACAATTCTGATACAAAAACGCATTTTGGCAATATTCCCATCATTCACATAAGGGATATTGACAGCAATTTTTAAACACCCAGGTAAACTAACAGTAACTAAGATTTACTTTTTGCTTAACCATTTATTCCAACATACATTTTGGAAGCAAGTAATATTTTCCTTTAAAGGAAACTGAGGTAATGTATTAGAATTTATTGCTTGTTTGCCTGAAATGGCAGTGGACTGTATTCATGAAAATGAATCCCTTGCTTTGTTGTTATCTTCATGACTTCTCCGTTTAATGTATCATCTTCAAGTATTTTTATCAGTCCCTCAGCAATTAATGATGGGCTATAAATGAATTTCAAAAGATAAATTAGATACTGTTCAGTACAGATCATACTTCTCTATCCCTGAAGGTTGGGGTGAGGAGCAGAGGTATAGTAAAACAGCAGTCCTTTTTTTGACTATCTGTGCAGGAGAGGCTAAGAACCAATTCACCAATATGCTTGTGCATGCCAACATGGCAGTATAATGGCCACACATTTATTTTCATGGCTTTGACACCTGATGAGGTCATCATTCAGCATGAGGTACTTGGTCCACTGTATGATGAAAGCCTGCACTGCACAGAGACAACGGGTAGCTCAGAAGTTTCCCATCTGGCTCGCTGCATAGCCTTCAGTTCCAAGGGATCCACTACTCTGCATTATGGTTATCAGGTGCCTATTCTTACACTCAGGGCTTTTTTTGTAGAAAAAGCCCAGCAGGAACTCATTAGCATAATAGGCCACACCCAACAACAGAAACTAATTAGCATATCCAGCCACACCCATGAGAATACAACTCATTAGCATATTAGGCTGCACCCCCATGTTACCAGAAACATAGTCATCCAGCCACACCCACCTTTTGCTTCTTATTCTTTTTACCTTGTTTGTTGTCAAAACCTCGGGCTTTTTTGTAGCAGGAACTCCTTTGCATGTTAGGCCACACCCCTAATGTAGCCAATCCTAATGAGTTTCTGCTGTTGAGTGTGGCCTATTATGCTAATGAGTTCCTGCTGGGCGTGGTCAACTTGGGAGCCAGCCGGAACTGCGTTCCTGTGCGTTCCTGCCCCAAAATAGCCCTGCTTACACATACCTAGACCCACACAAATGGTTCTATAACTCACTCCCCACCAGTGCAAACTTTAATGGGGATTTTGGGGCAACCCACTGCTTATTATGTATGCCATTGCCTTTTGGAGATCTAGGCAAATAGCTGTTTAACCCTCTCTACTTGATACAAGCAGTAACAGAGGATTTGTCAGAATACATCCATCTGCTGCACCTGCCTGCGGGGAGGGGATCTCATTGGGCAGAGAGAGGCAATCCATTTGGGCTTTGCTGCATCCGGCTTCAGCCCTATATGACCTAAAATGTCACAAGACGCATGTTTTGGCTCTGTAGTCTTGCTAGATATGAAATGAGAAGTGGGAACAGCTGAGTAATGCAGGCAGCATAACAAACAAAACTGTGCTGTCTAGTAGAGAAGGCCAATCTTTTAACATTTCAGTTCTATACCAAAACTCAATAAGTAATAAGAAGAGGAATATCACAGAGCTGAAAAGATTTTGAAAGGAAAATCAAAACGATCAAGTTGGAAAGGCCTAAATGCTTGGGATTATTTAGTTAAAGGGACACCCCCCCCCCCCGGTAAAAGATGTTGTAGAGGTTTCATAAAATTATATAAGGGGTGATGAACGTACATAAAGAGAAAAATTTCTCCTTCTCCAATAATACTAGAACTCAAGGACGCCAATAAAATTTACTTCCACAATATGTTGATAGCTGCTACTGTATATGGATTTAAAAGAGAGTTAAACAAATTTATGAAAGAGAGCTCTATCAATCATGATGCCATAGATGTATTCGTAGGTGCTGGCTGTTGCCTTCACAGTCTGCTTGTGAGCTTCCAAGCCACTGTTAAAAACAAGGTGCTGGAGTGGATGTATTTTTTATCTGACCCAGCAGGGTTCTTCTTAGGTTCTCCTATGAGGTACCATTATATGCTTCTTATGGGATCTGCAGCTGATACTGGGGAGAAGTACAATCACAGGCTTACTAATCCCTTCTTGAGGTTTATGTAAACATGCTGGAAGGGTGACTATTACAACCCAAACAGTGGGTGGGAAGTTGATATTCCTCCACCTTTGTTCCCACCTGCAATGACCAATGAGGCCATAATCTGAGAGGCTACTAGGAATAGGGCTGCCCTCTGGGCAGCCGGCAGGGGATGAGGAGTGGTCTTACCAGGAGCAGGAAGTCTCACCCAATGTTTCAGCAACATCCCCGATGTGACTTCCAGTGTGACCCGAAAGTGACTTTGGCATGTTGGGGCAACGCTCTGTTTATTAGGCAAAAACTCTATGGTAAAATTAGCTCTACCATAGAGATTTTGCCCCAAAACCAGAGTGTCGCTTCAACATCCCTGACATGCCTATGTCACTTCCAAGTCATGGTGAAGTCATGTCGGAGATGTTGCTAAAACATCAGGAGAGACTCCCTTTTTTATAATAAGTCGCCCCCTGCTGGCCAGCTGATCTGTGGAGAGGTGGGGCCTGGGAGTGGGGGACCCCCACACCTACTGGGGGTGTCTGGTATCCCTAATTAGGAGGAAAGCTGTTCTCCAACTTTTAGAGGATTTAGAAGTTCTGCAATGGAGGTGTGAGCACAAAAAGGTGTGTGTGTGTACACAAAACACCACTGGATCCAGATACCAGCAGGGGAACCCTCTTTGCCATGTCATTGGTGATGCCTGCTGTAAATGAATGTTAGAGATATTTGAATAGCAGGAGGCATTTAGAGTCACTTAGAACTGCAGTGGGTATCTGGTGGGTTATTTTTTTCTTGAGTACTTTTGAAGTTGGGATATGGGACCAGGGTGAGCATGGAGGCGTGCATGCATGACGATGGCAGAGTATTCAGCAACAATCCTGGATAGGCTAGTGTGATTTCCCTTTGGGGCTGGAGTGGCGTGGCATCCTCCATGTGGCCCATATGGCAAAATATTAACCCTCTTGAGCACCATTTTGCTTTCAGCATCCAAGTTATATATTTGAGGGAGAAAGAAGACTTGAATTCATTTTCCCTGTCCTTTAGAAAGTCTAAACATAGTGACAAATTCTAGCCTGGGAAATGGAACACTTCATAAGTCAAATATGGAATACAGTTGGAATACCTAGTTGTAAATCCATTGCAGAGATGGAGACACACTGAAATATACCACACAGACAGGATTACTGGCTCTCCATGCCAATATATCTGGTCTTTCAAGCAGGAAGGCTTATATCCGCCACACTATTTTTAATAATTAGTATGCCATGCCGTTGGCGTCTACCTTCTGCAATATCCCTAATGCATCTTAACTATGTGTAACAGATTGTGGTATTGCTATGAATTTGTTTGCAGGATAAAGATAACAATTAGTTTTGGATGTGCTTTACTCACGGCAACAAACCATGGCATTTCATCATATCTTTGAGCTCTTCTTTGTATATTAAATATTGGCCCATATTCTCTTCCTTTTCAATTGTTTGAAGAATTGGTGTGTTAACAAAACCAGGACAGATTGTATTTATCCGTACACCATACTTTCCTGTTTTAGAGACCATCTATTAAAAACCAAAAAACAGGCATGTTAAGTGTTCCTATTCTGTGATTACGAACTTTACTCAATCAAGAGCCAATGAGATGTATTGGTAAGGATGTCGGACTAGGACCTGGGGACTCTGCCCTGGAAGCTTGCCACATGACCCTCGGCCAGCCACGCAGTTGCAGCCTAACGTACCTCACAGAATTGTTGTTAGGATTAAAAGGGGCAGAGAAGAACAATGCCAGAGGCTTGGGGTCCCCATGGGGGAGAAAGGTGGCATATAAATTAACTAAATAAATAATAAAATAATTAGTATTCCATTGTCAAATCTTTAGGATCACTTGCCTTTGGTGTGTCTGTTTTGAGAGGAGGTTGCAAATGACACAGTATGGAATATTGTGCTTCTTGTTTGAGGTGTATAATTTACTACATTAAAATTTAAATGGATGGTATTGGAAATATGGTTTACTTCTTAGCTATAAAATGGCACATACAGTCACAACCAGTGCTGAATCATGGATTCAAGTTATTTATTTTTTTTAAACGAAGTGAAAATAAGTGATATGTAACTAGCCTAACTACAAAATCTGGCCTGCAGGTGAGAAAGTTTGTCCATAACTTGTTCACATCATTCTAGTAGAGACAAGGAGGCATGCAGTCCAAGTTGGTTGGTTAAGGTAGAAGGGGAAACACACAGATTGTACTGTCCACCTGTTTCTCACCATTTGCTTCCTCCTCTCAGGACAGTTAAAAAGCTAGCATGGAGACAAGGAAGAAAAGTGAGACGACTTGGCCTATTGCCATTCTTTTGATTCTTTATGGGCTCATTAACCAATCTTTGCCGGCCACTAATATAAATAATTTGCCAAGAAACATGATTCATATTTAAATCAGCATTTGCCTGTTTTTCAGTACAAAATCTATTAGCTATTGCCAAACAAAGTATCTGGAACAAACATAAATATCCTGCATAGACTTATGCTGTTGTCATTTCAGGTACCGTGGTTTCACATAACCTGGGCAATAATCAAAATATCAATCAAATTCTAAAGAAGAAAAGTGATTTTATTTCTTTAAGACATTTATATCCTTTGCTGTCCCCATCTTGAGTGGTTCTAGTCTACTGTTTCCAACTGGGAAGGTGTTGGGAACAGGACCATTTGATGGGCACAGAGTGGGGAAAATGGTATCACACAGTACTCTAGGAATCTGCCCAAACTCTATGGTAAAAACTATTGAAATTTTGGGGATTCTTATAATGCTCTGACACACCATGATGTCACTTCCATGTACCAAGAATGTTGTGATGGCATCATGGGATGCTGTCTCCCCATTTTTCTCCCATCACTCCTTTGAGAGGGGGCTTTGGGCAGCAGGGGTGGGCAACCACACAGTTGCTTTCAGTATCTTAAACCATTTTAATTCCCCTCTCCAAAAAAAACTTTGTAAAAATGAGAAGGTGATTTTGTTATTAGGAAATCATGATAACTCTTTAGCAGTTTATACTCACAGCTATTGAACGTGTGAATCCAATAACCCCGTGCTTTGATGCACAATATACTGGTTGGGATGGAACAGGCATAAGTCCTTGAATGAGGAAAATAAAGTAGACATGAATATTAATTAAAAATCAACATACATTATAAAAAAAATGCACACAAAAGTGTCAGCCTATATACATTAACATTTCTGTTCATATAGTTTACCTTGTAGTTTGACTGAAACAATGGAAAGTAGAACAGATATATTTCAGTTATTTACATAATATTTAAAATAATGTTAGACTAGGATCTAGGAGGCCCAGAATCAAATCCCTAATCTGCCATGGAAGCTTGCTGGGTGACTTTGGATCAGTTATTCTCTTTCAACCTAACCTACTTCAAAAGATTATTGTGAGGATAAAATGGAGAAGCGGAGACAATGTTGTATGTTACTTTGGGTTCCCATTGAAGAGAACACTGAGAAATAAATTAATTAAAATTCTTAGTTGCCTTTGCTGTTGAATGTCAGTCAAGGTGATAAACATGGGGGAATTTATCCCACCAGAACTTTATCCCACATTTCAGTGACATGTCCACGTTTCAGTGACATATCCCACGTTTCAGTGACATATCCCACGTTTCAGTGACATGCCCACGTGACTTCAATGTGACCTTGAAGTGACATGGGGACACCAGGGGCAATGCTCTTGTTTTTGGGCAAAACCTTTATGGTAGAATTAGCTTTTACCATAGAGTTTTTGCCCCAAAACCAGAGCATCACCCTGATGTCCTCCATGTGCCTACATCACTTCCAGGTAGGGTTGCCAAGTTTTACCATCTTAATACCAGGGGAGTCCTGGACCCGGTCGGGAGTTCTTTTGGGTGTGCATTTTGCATGTGCACAACGATGACATTGCCTGGAAGTGACATTATCATGCTGGGCACGTCACCTGGCAAAATGCCCAGTGTGATGACATCACTTCCGGGCGACGTCATCATGCTGGGCATGTCAGCCCGATCTGGCCACTTTGAGGGTGGGGTTCCCCCCACTGGCTGGATCCGGACCGGCGGGTTGGGGGCCCTTTCGTTGGGAAAATCCCTCCCCCCCCGGGGGACCTGGCAACCCTACTTCCAGATGATGTTGAAGTCACATAGGCACATCACTGAAATATCCAGTGTTCCTCCCTTCTGGGAGTCCCCCTGTTGGCCAGCTGATTGGTGGTGGAGAGGTAGAGCCTGGCAATGGTGGACCTCCACCCCCACCAGGGGGTCTGGCATTCTCAGTGCAAAGACATCATTTTTCATGAAACTGCTCATGCCACATTTGCAGGTAATGCGGTACTATAGGAATAGTTTTTTTAAAATTGTGCCCTGCCTTTCAGTCAAAGGCTTCTGAAGGAATATCTAACCACAACAATAGTATTAATTATATTTTATCCTACACTTACTCCAAAGAGTTCAGAATGACATATATGGCTTTTCCCAGCTCTATTTTATCTTCATAACAGCCCAATGAGGTAGGTTATGCTGAATCTGTGTGACTTAACCAGTGAGCTTTATAACAACGCATGAACTTCAACTTGGGTTGCTCCAGCTACTGTGACATTCTAACTGGTACACTGCACTGGCTCTCAATACAATAGATAAAGTAAATACAAAACAGTATTTGCATTTGTGGGAACCCATTTCAATAGCCTGTTCAAAATGAGGAAGGGCAAAGTGTCCAGCTTGGCTAGAGAGCTCATGTTAAATGGCCTTCGATATGCTAGGGAAAAAAGATGAAAGGGCTCAGAGCTAAGCCTGAATAGTGTAAAACAAACACATTTTATAAGGAATTTGTAAGCAGAGCAAAATATGGAAAAAGACGGCAGGAGAAGGCAGAAAAGAAGTAAACGGAGCACATTAGAAATAAAATATCTTTCTAGAGCGTGAACTAGGAGAATAATCTTGATGGAGCTGCTGCTTTCCACCAAACTGACAGCCTATAGAACAGCTTATTGTTCTCATTCTTACAAATGTGTGGCTGAGGCAAGCTTTGATCAGTCCTCTATGACTTGTGCTGTTGGTGTTGTGAGCATTGGGTTTTTGTTGGTATAACTTCCCATGTTTATTTGAACTGGAAATAATAATGTTTAACAGACACATAGTCTCAAGCTATGACTAACACCCATTATAATAGAAAGGAAATTCAAAGATAAGGCAGATTCCAAGTCCTTAACCTCTTACCCTATTAGCACCATTATAACAGTGTATATGTATGGAGAATGTTTTTACTCCTAAAAAGGAAACTTAAATGAAGGAACGCAACTCAGCTCTTTATATCCTCACTAGCTGTTTCTTTTATTCTACTGATATTCAGTTCAGCTATAATCAGCTAGAGTATAATGATGACTGACCAGATTGCACTGGTGCAGTGCAGAGGTGAACTGCAGGACTGTGGAGAAATATTATTTACTTTGAAGGTTTGGACTATACAAAACCTTCACCTTGAGTTTTTAAAAGGTTTTCTTTTCTTAGCAGAGAACAGGTAGGAGGCAGGGGTTGAGGGTAAACCATACCCACCTGGCTTTTAGAAATGCTACTTGCTCCCTGGCTGGAGACAATGAAATGGTCAGCTCACCCCTCTGGTAGGCTTACCAAGTACCTACCTTGAATTGGCGGGGGACACATACTTCTTGTCAGGAACATTCCCGCGTGTAAAACAAATGCGCCGCACCATGCTGTCACCCAGACGTGACACCAGCATGCTGGGCACGTAGCTGGGCGATGCTCTGGCAATGGAGCTGGAAACTCTATGGTACCATTGAGTTTCCAGCTCCATTACCAGAGCGTCGCCCAGCTACGTGCCCAGTGTGTTGCCGTCACGTCGGGGTGACGCAATGTGACGGCGGGGGTGGTACGGTGGGAGTGTTACACCGAGGGATGTTCCGGCCGGGAACCATGTGTCCCCCGCCAATTCAAAGGTAACCCTACCCTCTGGCTAGATGGTGAACCTAGTAGGCAACAGGCTTGAGAGATTTAAAATGCTAGAACATTCTAGGAGACTTCAGGAAAGGCTTCTTTGACCCACAGGGGTGGGGTGGGGGTGGGCAAACATTGATAAAGCCCTTTGGAGGAGGGACTGTTTTTGCTGATTCTATCTAAGCAGACAGAATTGTCATGCCTGGGCTCCTGCTAGGTGTGGTTGTTGCCATGTGGGGCACGCAGGCCTCAACAAAAGCCTCCAAGGTAATGGGAACTTTTTAAAACCACTTTAACTTCTAAATTAAAGAGCTTGCCTTTGAATAAGATCAGCTGGGCTGTACAGAGTTCACAGAGGGCAGAGTTGTGTGTTTTTCTTTTGGATCCTTTGCTCAATCTGTTGCTGTTTTGATGGCATGCATGTGGGCATTTTTTAGCTATAATTTTTGTTCTTTATTTTAGAAGAAGAAGAAGAGAGTTGGTTTTTATACCCTGCTCTTCACTACCTGAAGGAATCTCAAAGCAGCTTACAAACGCCTTCTCTTCCTCTCCCCACAACAGACACCCTATGAGGTAGGTGGAGCTGAGAGAGTTCTGAGAGAAATGTGACTGACCCAAGGTCACCCATCTGGCTTCACGTGGAGGAGTGGGGAATCAAACCCAGTTTTCCAGATTAGACTCTGCTGCTCTTAACCACTACACCAAGCTGGTTCTTTAGAAAGAATATTATACAAGCATGAGTTAAATGTATAACTACAACAAAAAAAGACACCCTACTTAACAAATGATATAACTTTTGCATACAGGTTTCCAAGTCAATTCAGTTTTATGCCTAGTGTTGTACAAGTGCAGCAAGATGGCTCCATGGTAACCAGACACTAGGTAGGTGACACAGGCATGAGGCGAGGCCTTAGAATGAAATGCAAGGTAGGGGAGCTGGCAGTGCTGGTCCTCTCTGTGGGTAATTCCTACAAAGGCCAGGTGGTGGCAATGGATGAACTGAAAGAGGAAGAGAGAAGCCCCTTTGAGGGTTAGGAAACTTGGGTGAATGGCAGGTGCCATGTGGAGACTTGAGTGGCCACTGGTGCCCAGATGTCTCGGAGGGCAAGATGGAACAGAGCACATGAGTCAGCGGGGCTCTTTCGCCCTAAGGTCCTTCTGGAAATTCTCTATCAGACAATTTGGATAAGACACTATCTGCAAAATGCTCTGGTTACTCCTATCTCAAAAGAAAACATAAAGACAAGTCTGGCAGAACTCTTTGTGCTGTCTCGAGGGCAAAGAGGACATATTACATTGTCTTTCCTGCCACTGCTACCCAGCTCCTGCTGCAGTCCACTGTGCCATCCATAATCCTTCTGGGGGGGAGGGAGTAATGGTTAAAGTGTGTTTAGGAACACATGGGAGCAAAGAAGGGTCTTCACCAGGAGGGGGAAACTGGCACAACTGCCCTCCCCTCCTACACCAATGGAAGTTTTGTTCTGCCACTATAACTGTTGTTCTACTGGTGGGATGGCATCTTTAGAGCCAATCTAACATATTAAAAACACATTTTTTTCACTAAGTGTTTTCCAGTCTGATCAAAAATTTAAGAAAAAACACATAGTAAAAAAAACTACCCCATTACTACACTGTGGTTTGCCGAACTTCATGTGTCAGTAATGGCATCTCTTTGCAAAGGAACTACTGTTTGTTGCCACATTAACGTTAGGAAAAAAGGTCAAAACGAAGCTCTGTTTTATTCTTGTACAATACAATGGAGTAGGATGTATTGTTGTAAACAGTCTGTTTCTCTACCACCACTGCATCCACAGAATAGACCTGAGGAATTCTTCTGGGTGGTTAGGCACCTATTGTGTACCAGCCTACAGGAGGAGGCAGACTGCTCTGCATCCCACTGTGATCATCTTGTTAAGCACTTTGTGGATCTCTTGCATCAATCCTAATTTGGACTCCACTTTAGCTGCAATATGATCAGATGAAGAAGAGGAGATTGGATTTATACCCCACCCTTCACTACCCAAAGGAGTCTCAGAGCGGTTTACAAACTCCTTTCCCTTCCCCTTCCCACAACAGACACCCTGTGAGGTAGGTGGGGCTGAGCGAGCTCTGACAGAAACTGCTCTTTTTCAAGAACAGCTGTGCCAGAACTATGGCTTGCCCAAGGTCATCCAGCGGGTGCAAGTGGAGGAGTGGGGACTCAAACCCGGTTCTCCCAGATTAGACTCTGTGCACTTAACCACTACACTAAACAAAGGTGCCAATTTGTCCAGTTGTATGGGATACCTTTCCACTTGTCCAGTCTGAAGAAGTGGACAGGATTCTTGGACGTTTGAGACCTACCATCTGCATATATGACTCTTGCCCCTGCTGGCTGCCTTAATCTGTTTGGGGTGCAGAGCTGGTGGACTGGGTCTGTGATACCATAAATACTTCCCTGAGAGTGGGGGTGGTTGCCCCTGTCTTGATGCAGGCAGTGGAGCGTCCACTCCTTTTTTTAAAAAAAACAACACCCTACACTGGACCCAGGAGAGTTGAATACCTACCACCGAGGCTCAAATGTACCATTCTTGAACAAGGAGATTCCACAAGTGGGACTGGGCAACTTCAGGGATTCCTGAATGAAGCAGATTGTATGAATCCATTCCAATATGATTTCAAGCCTGGTTATGGGACTAATATGGCTTTGGTCACTCTGGTGGATAACCTCCAGGACAAGAAAGCAGGGGTTTTCAAACAGCTGAGTGATGGGGAGCTCCCCAGTGTTCAGCTGTTTTTCATGAAAAGCTTTCTGCTCTTCATGAACCACCATGAACTGCACCAAAATTCGTGAAAGTTCATAGCGGTCTTTAGTTTGTGAACGACTCTTCACAAACCATGAACTGGCCAAAATTCATGATGAACTTTAGTTTGTCACCTAATTTGTGCCCGTCCCTATTGTCTACTCAGACTGACAGCAGCTCTACAGGGCCTCAGGCAGAGATCTTTCACATCACCTACTGCCAGATCATTTTATCCGGAAATGCCCATGATTGAACCTGGGACCTTCTCCATGTCAAGCAGATGCTCTACCACTTAGCCACAGCGCTTCCTCTATCCCATTCTAGAATCTTCAGAAATGAATGGAATAAAAATCTAAATAATAGTTAAATTGCAATCTATTATAGTCAGAAAATAGCTATTAAATACTGATTTGCTTTTTAAAATATGTCAGGAATAGACAAATTAAATTGTACAATTTTCTTACCTGCCAATGATGATATATTAACAATAGCCCCACCGTTGCCTCCATTTTCTGTTTTCATGTAATCTAAACCAATGTACGTTCCTCTAATCACTGAAATCTAAAGCAGGAAATACAAAGCAGGCACTATGCTTAGTAGCATCTCATTTTGGGATCAATCTGCTTAAATTACTCTTTCAGTACACATTTTGAACTAGGTTCATACCCTCATGTTTTATTCCCTCATCTTACCCAGATGTTACTTCTAGGGCTCTTTTTGTAGCAGGAACTCCTTTGCATATTAGGCGACACACCCCTAATGTAGCCAATCCTCCAAGAGCTTACAGAG